AGTAGTCATCTGGGGGAGAGGAGGTGAGGCCTGAACTGGAGAAGGGGGAACAGGGATGGAAAAGTGTAAAATGAGCAGAATGTGATGGAGTATGTATGTGGTCAGAGGGGGTCGGGGAGAGGAAGGATCCCAGAGCTTCTGGATTTCCGGCTTAGACACTGTGGAGGGTGGTGCCTTCAGCTGAGACAGAGGGAAACACAGGCTTGAGAGGGAGCAGATTGCATCAGCTTTGGGCATTGGGAGTGGGCGGTGCATGCAGGGGACCAAGTGGTGGCAGAGGCACAGATTTGGGGATTGTCAGCCCCTTCCAGGCTGATTCAGGAAGAGACTCAGTCCCTGGATGGGGTCAAATGATCTGAAGATGTAGGTCCCGAGGATGGGGGGCGGGAGAACGGGGGGGTTCTGCTTCTGAGAAACATCCAATCTGCACTGCCAGTCCTCCTGGCAGGCCTAGTGACGATCTCCCCTGAAAGGATGCAGCCACCTCAACTGACCTAATTACTTCTCATAAGTGAAATAAGTGACCATTGAAAAGATACTAGAAAGATGAGCCCCCCAAACAGCTCAAAAATGCAATCTCATTTTTCAAAAAGAGCTTGGAAACATGAATAAAATGATACAAGAGATGAAAGAACAACCTGAATCAGAATTAGAACAACTCGGAAATGAGGTAACAGAACTGAGGAGAATAGTAGAAAGAAAAGAAGTATTCATTTCAGAAATGAAGACTAAGCTAGAAGGAACACTATGCCAAATAAGCAAAACTGGAAATGCATTAGTAGGAAAAAAAGATGGAAAAAAAAAAAAAAAGAAATGAAGGCTACCAAACCATGATCCATGAAAGGTTGATAAGTTGGACTTTATAAATATGTAAAACTTTTACTCTGCAAAAGACACTGTTAAGAAAATGAAGAGATAAGCCACAGACTGGGGAAACATATTTAAAAAACACATCTGATAAAGGACTTGTATCCCAAATAAACAAAGAACTGTTAAAACT